GATTGGTTTCCCATCGTACCACACCGGACTAAGCGTAGCCGTGGCGTGCGTGATCCCCACGATCCGGTGTGGGATGGCGTTCTTTGGTCGGATCGTGGTGAGCCCGGATAGGTGTCGGTAGGCACGAGCCTCAATTTCATCCAGTGGGAAGGTCACCACTTCTCCCACCTTTGGCTGCCGGTCCAGTGATCCCGAATCATGGAATTGTTCAAGTGCCGCAAGGGACAGCCGGCATTGCAATCCCAAAACTTGGTTAACTCGTCGTTGGCTCTCGTTCTCCGTCTCAAGTTGTTGCCATCCAATCATTCGTGGCTCCATTCCCGTCAAGCAGCAAATCGGGGAACAGCCCAAACCTTCATGCGGAGTGCTATTATGGGCGAATACTGCCATTGACAGCAGGACCTCTGGGTGTAGGGAGCTGGCGTCCCTGTTCGTCGCTGAACAGTGATTGATGAATCGGTGTGAAGATTCGTTGAGACCGTTCCCTTGTGGATAATACGAGGCGCACCGATAGTGCTCCACACCGTGCACTTGCAGATACTTCCCCAGACCTTCGAAGGGGTGATTGTCGGATAACACCACGCGTGGGAACCCAAGGGTCGGGACCCAACGTGTCAAAAGGAAATCTGCGGCCCCGGCACAAGTACCCCCTGCGGCAAAGGAGGCCATCATAAATCGCGTGGCGTGATCTATCACTACCAGGATTCGCCCGTCGCCACTCTTGGACATTATAATGTGATCCACGGATATGATTTCGCCCAAAACCGGTCTGTGCAAGTTCCGGGTGGTGTGCCTGTGTATCGGCTGTGTGCGGTGTAAGGTACACGATAAACACTCCTGGATGTGTCTTTTGAGGTCCTTTGCTAGGCCCTTCCACCAAACTACCCGTCTTGCCAACCTCAGGCAGCGATTTAGTCCGGCGTGGCCGGAGTGCGGGGAACCATGAAGGAGGAATAAAATCGCGTCTCGATGTTTCGGTGGAATATATCGAGCACGTGACCATGTGTGTACCCGGCCGTTGGGCGTCTCGGTCAGGAATGGAATATCTTCGGGAGCGGGCGGTTCTGAGCGCAGGTCCTCCGCTGAGACGGGTGGAGGTATAGCGATAAATGCTGGTACGGCTATCGTGTCAATAGTCTGATCGTGGTCCGAATCGAGACGGCTGAGCCAATCAGCCACAATATTGGAACTACCGGCTGTATAGTGGAAGGTCACCGTGAACTCGCAGATTCGGGCCCTCCAGCGGCTCAACTTCGCGTTATTGGTGGAATCGAGATGTTCGAGCGCCTTGTGGTCGGTGAAAACCACCACTTCGCTTCCTTTGATGATGTTATGCAGCTTTTCGAGAGCCCACACGATGGCGTAGCACTCGCGTTCCGTGGTACTCCAATTGCGTTCGGTGGTGGAGAAGGTGTGCGAGAGGCAAGCAATCAATTTCGGGGACTCGAGCGGCTGCCAGAGAGCAGCCCCTGCCGCTACATTGGAAGCATCTGTGAAAAGGAGGAATCCTTCTTGTGGATCCGGCATGGTCAGCGACACCGTGTCCGCCAGGGCCAGTTTCAGACTCCGGAAATGTCGTTCGAAGTCAGGAGTCACTTTGAAGCTCCCTTTCTTGAGCCACGGAGATATGGGACTGAGGAACTCGCCAAGGTTTGGAATGTGGCGAGATATGTATTGTACTGCACCCACAAAACGCTTCAATTCCGTCTGGTCCTTTGGGATGGGGGCATTGCTCAGGGCCGACACACGTTTGGGGTCTGGAGTGAGAGTGTTGTGTGTGACGATCACCCCGAGGAAGGAAAGCTCCGTCTTTAGGAACTCACATTTTTCCCTGCTAATCCTCAGTCCGACTTCTCGCAGCCTTTCCAGAACTCGCAAGACCAGGCCAAGGTGGGCATCCCTTGTTTTTGTCCCAATTATGATGTCGTCAACGTATACACGAACCACTTCTGCGTCCATTAGATTCCTCAACACATCCTCCACTCTCTGCTGAAATTCAGCGGGGGCGCATTTGTGCCCTTGTGGTAACACGTTCCACCTGTAACATCCTAGTCTGCCCACTGAGAATCCTGTTAAGTTCTTGGAGGATTCGTCGAGAGGGACATTCCAGAACCCATTCTTCAAGTCCAGTTTCGAGAACCACTTGCATTCCCTCAGCGAGTGCAGGA